ATTTTTGGGCATTGATTTTATAGCCTGCGACTTTACTGTACAAGTCTATTGTTTCTAGGAGTTTCTTGGTAGAGGATTTAGGATTCTCGAGATATAGTATCATATCATCTGCAAATAGTGAAAGCTTGATTTCTTCCTTTCCTATCTGGATACCTTTAATATCTTTTTCTTGCCTAATCACCACTGCAAGTACTTCCAATACTGAACAGAAGTGGTGATAGTGAACATCTTTGTGTTGTCCCTGTCTTAGAGGAAAAGCCCTTAGTTTTCCCCATTGAGCATGATTCTTGCCATGGGTTTGTTGTAGATGGTTTTGACTATCTTGAGGAAAGTTCCTTCAAAACCCATTTTGGTGAGAATTTTCATCATAAATGGGTGCTGGATCCTGTCAAAAGCTATCTCTGCATCTGTTGATATGATCATATGGTTTTTATCTTTACTTTTGTTAATATGATGGATTATGTTGATTGATTTCCAAATGTTAAACCATCCTGCATCCCCGGGATGAATCCCATTTGGTTGTGGTGTATGATCTTTTTGATGAATTGTTGGATTCTATTTGCTAATATTTTGTTGAGAATCTTCACATCTGTATTGATCAGGGATATAGTTTTCTTTGTTGGTGGTGTCTTTGTTTGCTTTTGGTATTAGGGAGATATATGCCTCATTGAAGCTGTTTGGGAGAGTTCCTGGTTTTTGGTTTTTTTTTTTTTTTCAATTTCCTGTAAAAGCTTGAGGATAACTGGCAAAAGGTCTTCTTTAAATGCTTGGAAGAATTCACTAGTGAATCCGCCTGGGTGGGGAAGGCAACATTAAACAATGAGTACTATAAAATCACCTTGGCATAGTTTTGATCTCAGCACTGCAAACAAAAAATTAGGAATATTTTGGTCAGGGACATAGCTCCAGGGGTCAGTGAGCATGCTCTTTCTGTGGGAAGCCCAGCTTCTATCCCTGGAGCGATACAGTTCCAAGCACCATCAGAAAAGAGTCCAGCACACCAAGCTGGAAGTGGCCCCTGAACACCTGAGCACCATCAGGTATGAACTGCGTCCCCTACCTCACCACACACAAGCACATTTGCTAAAAGTCTAGCAATGCCAAGAGTTGGTAAACCAGAACTCTGATACACATTAGACACATTAGGAATATTGTACTGTATGTTATAACTGGTGATCGTTTGCCTTCTGGATTAAAATATTCTCTTTGGATCAACAGATCTAAAATATGGAGGGGGGGGGTAATGGTGGTGACGGGAATATACAATGTCAGAGGAGATATACTTTACAAGCCAGCAATTAAACTCCCAGGTTTAGAAAAACAAGGTAGTAGTAATAAAACCCAATAGAAATGTGTTTGCACAAAGACACTGACTGCACAATTGCATATAATAGCTAAAATTGAAATTTCTTATTATAATAAGCAATAAGCAGTGTTTTTATAAAATTGTACATTTACACAGCAATGGAAAGAACCTCTACTTACACATGACGTGCATTTTCTAAGAAATGTTGATGAAAGGCACCAGTTATAACATACAGAAGAATTCCATTTTCATGTGTCAAAAGTGGGCAAGAATAACCAAGTTGCAAACAAAACTGGAAGAACCTTTCACCATAAGGGCGGGGGGTCGGGGGGAATAGTACCTCCATTGAAAGAGGACATATGAGGAGACCATAGCACTGAAAGTAGCTTTTCTACTACTGGTTTTTGGTTGCACGGCTGTGAGATTGTTTATCCATTAAACTATATATGTGTTTTATGTAGTTTCCTGTAACCTGTATGAACACCAATCAATCATAATGTAGCACTGTAGCACTGTCCTCCCGTTGTTTATTGATTTGCTCGAGCAGGCACCAGTAACATCTCACAACAAATTGTGAGACTTGTTACTGTTTTTGGCATATCGAATACATCACGGGCAGCTTGCCAGGCTTTGTCATGTGGGATAAATCATAATATTTAAATTAAATTAAATTTTAAATATTTAGATTAAATAATTATAAAAGCATAGGGAAAACTAAGCAGTCTAGAAAGATAGGCTCAAGACATAGAGGAATTTAATTTTCCATGACAGAGTTACAAATCAGTGGAGGAAAAATGGTAGTATTAGTCCGGAGTAGAAGAGAGAGCTCAAAGGCGTGAGCATATACTTTGTCTGTTCCCCAAAGCACTACTACAAGCGAGCCCTAAGCACCTCCAGGCAAAGTCCAACAATCAAAGAAATAGTCACACTGAATCAACTGAACTATTTGCAAAGATTAAATTTAGCCTCATAAAATATCCTCAAATAGACTTGATTCTCTTTGGATCAACAGATCTAAAATATAAATAATTAAAAAAATTTAGAATTCACAAATGTGGCTGCCTGATATCTCAAATTCTACACCACTGATTTACCAGGAGTACCAAACCACATTGGATGTGGTGTAAAATAGAAGGCAAACGATCTCGATCAAAAAAAAGTATCAGCACACAAGGCTCAACCTGTAACAAGAGTAATCTCTTATACAATGGCTTAATCCAGGGTGATACAACAATCTTCACACACTTTCTTCTAAGGAAACTTTTTTTGATATTTTTAGAGGGTTATTCATAACAAGCAATATAATTTAGGGCCTGCTATTGGGGCAGGCGTGGGTGGTGGTTGGGAAAATTGAAAATAACAGTGATGGGAAGGTCTAATGATGGTGGAATTGGTATTGGAATATTGAATGTAATAAATCATTGTGAACATTATACAAATAAAATTTTTTTAAATTTAAAAAAGTCAGGATAGTGGTTATATCTGCAGAGGAAGAGGTGTAAATAGGCTTCTTGGGTGCTTGTAATTGTTCCTGATCTGGTTTCATATAAATACGCATACACTGAAAAATATTTTATTCTATGATTTGTATACTGTTTTGCAAGTATAATTCAAAAAGTTCACTCAAAATGTGTTATCTATATATATACTTGAAAAATTATCTCAAAAAATTACATACCAGGCTAAAGCAATAGCACAGCCGATATGGCATTTGGCTTACATGCGGCCGACCTGGGTTCGATTCCCAGCATCCCATATGGCCCCCTGAGCACTGCCAGGTGTAATTACTGAGTGCATGAGCCAGGAATAACCCCTGTGCATCACCGGTGTGACCCAAAAAGTAAAAAAAAAAAAAAGTCCATCTTTTATAGTTGCATATATTTTAAGATGCTGGTTGTATTATTAATTTGCATTATAATTAACAAAATGGTCAATAAGTTTAAAAGTGGTCAGGGCTTACTCCTGTTCTGTGTTCAAGGATCACTCCTGGGATGCTGAGTATCAGACCAGTTGCCACATGCAAGGAAACCTAGCTGATGGAAGGTACAGATTTCTATTAAAAAAATAAATATGCATGATTTCATCTTTTTTCTCGGAGAGCCCGGCAAGCTACCATGATGTCATTCGATATGCCAAACACAGTAACAACAAAGTCTCCAATGGAGACGTTACTGGGCCTGCTCTGAACAACGGGAAGACAGTGACAGTGTTTCATCTTTTCTAACAGCTGCATATTCCATTGTATCTATGTACCAAAGTTTAACCAGTCATCTGTTTTCAGACACTTGAGTTTTTTCCAGATTCTGGCTATTGTAAAGTACTACAATCTCACGATGATTCATTAAAAAAATATATAAAATAAATATGCAGTTATGCATAAAGAAAAGTACATGTACCCAAATGTTAAGGTTTTCTCTGGGACTGCATGTAAAGGCAAAAGGGCCATTATATAATACCATCTTCCCAGAAATAACTAAAATTATTTCACTCAACTATTAAAAAAAAATCAAACTGGCTAGGGAGGTACTTCAGCAGTAACACACTTTATATGTGTGAAGCTCTGGGTTCAACAATAAAAAAAATTTTTTAATGATGTTAAATCACTTCATAATAGTTGTAAAACTAAAACTAATGACACTGTAAGCTCAGCATATTCTCACATTTTCTTTCTGCGGGTTGAGTTTCAGGAGAAAGATGGACAGCAGTAACTAATCACAGAGAACACATGATAAAGAATTGATACTTCATAAGGCCAGGGATATACTCAGTAATAAAGAATGTGTATAAGGCCACGGATATACTCAGTAATAAAGTCTTAGACTGGGTACAATCCCTGGCACCATGCACACATGGGCATGCGTGCATGCACACATACATACACACAAAGTTTAAAAAAGATTAATGTCCTATAACACATGCATCTGACTTAAATGTATCTTCAAATTTCAAGTGTTTACAGTTTATGCAACAATGAAACATGATCAATAACATTCTGAAGTCACTCTGATTAGTATTTTATACTTCCAACACTGTATGAAGGTTTTAACATATTAGACAAAGAGATAAGTTTATTTTTCTGGAGATAAATATGTAACTTTATAAAATCACAAACAAGCATTGTGTATGTATGTGTATGTGTACATGTGCGTGTGAGACTGATGTTTCTGCAATGTGATACATCTCTGGGGGCTTGTCAAGTGATGTATTGACAATTGAAATGAACTTCTTAATCTGTCAGAACATAAATCAGTTCAAGCACAAGACCTTTATCTTTAACCTATTTTCTGAGTTTAGATTTTTAGCCCAAGCATATCTGGTCCTATAAAAAGACCGTCCACCCTTCAGCTATCTATGCAGCATGTTTTTTATTCCTAGTCATCAGAAAGATAACTACATGCTACACGCTTGTTACTCATCTTCAACGAGTGGCTCCTGGGGTACTGCACTTCAGTAACTTTATGCCAGCATGTATAAAATTCTCTAAACCACTCACATCGTTACTCAAAATAGGAGTCTATACTTTCCTAAGTCATTTTTAGGACAACTAAACTTCACTGAAAGGTAAGTAATAAACACAATTTGATAGAGATAGTAAGAAAAATTGCAGTTATCTGCTTTATTTGGCTGGCTGAAAGAAAAAAAAACCATGTTCTCCAATACTGCTGTATTTATGTGAAAACATCACACCCACACACAACATACTGCAAAATTTTAATACAATGTCATTACACTGAATATTAAAACTTTCCAAGCACATGAAAGTTATCTTCTGAGAGAAAAACCAGGCCACTTTTACAGTCATCTTTGAGTAACTCTGCAAAACTGTTCCTTCAACAAGTCTAACAGTTAGTCACTATAAGATCATAACATCTCCTTGGAAGAGACACTCAAGCGATCCTGTTGCCACCTTCAGAATTCATCAGAGGACTGATCGTCTTCATCCCTGACTTCACGGTATTTCTTCGAGGTATCCCCTTCTGGATTATAATCCTGCATTTTAATATTCAATCTTTCAGCTAACTTTTGTGCTGCAAGCTTAGCTTGCATCTCCTTAAAAAAAAAAAAAAGCAAATAAAACCAGTTAAGACAAATTTTTTTCCTAGAAATTTTTCAGGAGGGTGTCATTGAAACAGAACAAAATTAAGCCAGTGTCTAGTGCTCTTGGCAAAAACACTGGGAGCCTAACAGCCACCACACCACAGGGACAACAGGGCAATCTGCTGAGAGCGGCTCCTCAGCACAGTTGTGTTAAGTAAACAATGCACTGAAACATCCCATCTCTACACAAGAAACTGAGTACACAGATTAGCACTATAATACATAGACTTTTTTTTAGTATGTGGGCACATGCTTATGTACCCACACAGAACAATTTGGACAATCAACAAAAATGCTGTACTGATTACCCATAATTACCAGACTCTTTTCCCCTAGATTTCCCCTTTGGACTTCAGACCTACATTTCAATGCCATTGTGAAAAATCAAGGAATACTAAAAAAGTGCATTATCTCAGGATGGGGAGATGGCTCAAAGGGACTGGAACATGCTTTATATTCAGGAGCTCCAAATTCAATCCCCAGCTCTATGTGGTTCTCCCAGCACCACAGGGTGAAACCCCAGATTAAGAGAACATTAAAATTAAAGGGAAAAATAGTATTAATGCTCTGAAGGACTGGAGCGATAGCACAGCGAGTAGGGCTTTTGCCTTGCACACAGCTGAGGGTTTGATTTCTCCGCACCTCTCGGAGAGCCTGGCAAGCTACCGAGAGTATCTCGCCCGCACGGCAAAGCTTGGCAAGCTACACATGAGGTATTCAATATGCCAAACACAGTAACAACAAGTCTCACGATGGAGACGTTACTGGGCCCGCTCAAGCAAATGGATGAACAACAGGAGGACAGTGCTACAATGCTCTGAATAGCCCCATGGAAATTATAGACAAAAAGGCTACATATTTTTCAGACACTTGGCTGATGTTTCTATCTACCCAAGGACATCACCTTGAGGTAGATCATCATGATTCATCATGACTGAGGCCAGGGGTGAAGGCCAGTGCTACCTAGGCTTGGCTTTGCTCATAGCTCCTGTGCTTCACAAAAGGGAGAGAGAGCAAGAGAGGAAGAGTGAGAGAGCAAGAGAGAAGAAGAGAGGGATAGGGAGGGAGAGGGAGGGGGACGAGGGGGAGGGGGGAGAGAGAAAGAGAGAGAGAGAAAGAGAGAGAGAGAGATTGTGTGTGCCTGTGCGTGCCTGCACGCGCGCGCACACACGTCAGGACTAAACCTAGGGAGGGCCTCAGACATGCAAACTATACCCTGAACACAACCATGACCAGAACTGCTTAGTGTCCTTTCCTTTGGGCCATGATATGATGGGTATGAAAGATGGAACTGGCAGCTACTAGTATCGTGGAGAAAATAATGTCCAACTGTCAGCAACACTCCTCTCCTACTCATTTATGTCCCCCTAGTACAGTAACATGGAAACCCAGCCCCCCCGGTTCCCTACTCTCTTCTGAGGGTTCTGAGTGCAGTTCCCCATTGATGGATCTGGGGTGAGGGGTGTAAGCAGCAGCATGGACCATTTCCTGAGCAACTGCCCTCCAGTGTCACCGACAGCTGTGATCTCCTCCAGCTGTTTTCTGCAGCGCTAAGCAACTCCATACTCTGAAAACTGGAGGATAAATTCTCAGAGCTGATGGTTCTAGCTCCCTATTTCTCCAGCACCTAATCCCTTCTATAAATTCTTTCATTCTGGGGCCAGAGAGATAGTACAGGAGTAAGTCTTGCCTGTGGTCAGCAGACCGAGGTTCACTCCTCACCCTCAGCACTGCACAGGCTCCCCTGAGTATTTCCAGGAATGATTCTGGATCACAGATTCAAAAGTAAGCCACAGGCAGGTGTGGCCCCAAATTCAAAACAGATTTTACCATGAACAACCCAGGGTAAAAATTTCCCTTATGTAAGCAGCATCCCACATATAGATGAGAAACAACCAAGTCTCTAAAATACCTCATAGTTCTGTTTCTGCTGTTTCTGCAGGGTCAGAGACTCTTCTATAGAAAGCAGCTGTGCAGGCATGTGGTGAAGTGGCAAAAGCCGAGCAGCTGTGATGTCATCGAGATGCTGCTTGTCTCTGCGCCGCCGTTCTTCCAAAGAAACAGGGGACCCTCTTCCTTGACAGTGACTGGAGGAGCTGGTGTGCTGTGAAGGTAAACTGAAGAAGGAAAAACTTTTCATGCCAACAAACCTGTTCCCCTTTCACACTTTCACACACATGCCCCAGGATCCTGGTGCTCATTTGTCTATAATCACATGAAGCAGTTCACCACCATTACATTTGAAAATGAAGCCCTTTCCTTTCTTAAAAACAGGTTTACTTCAACCTGTCAGAAAACCAGTTAGGGAAGAAGGAAGAGTCCTAATGTTGAGTATGACAAGCTTCCAGTGCTGTCAAGCACTCAGTTTCAGGGGCAGCACGTTTCCGAGAGCGAACCTAATGCTCTGGGAAGACCTGAGCAAGACACGGAGGCATTAAGAGCCAGAACATGAAAGAAGCCAATGAGAGCTCAAAGAGCCAAATTTGCTCTCACTTTCCAACCTCCAAGCACTGCTCACACATGCAATTCCTGGATCTCCACCTGTCAGTGGCCTGCTGACTCAGCAAGGCCAGTCTCCTAATCTGCTTTAACTGTCTGGAAGGTTCTTTCCTAACTCTTGGAAATCCTCACTGCAGCTCCCTTAACCCCTTTCCACTTCAGCTAAATGCCCACAAAACAGCAGGTAGATCGGTGTACCTGAAATTGTTCAGTGACTAGATAATGCTGACTTTGAAGGTCTCCCTAGGGCCAAGTGCCTGCTTATAATCCTCAGACCATGGATCTGACTTCTAGTGCTCTCCTCATGCTCCCAGAAGAGTTCCCAAAACTATGCTGCCAGGGAACCCTGGCTCCGCAATGATGAGATCTCCACTACACAGCCACATTCAAGTGAACAACCCCAGAGAGCTTCTCAGACATGTGATCCCCTTATGGAGCACAATTCCCAGAATGTGCCTAAAATGAGCACAGTCACTGGCAAGGGCTACCGTCAAAAGTGTGAGCACCACAGCCAAGCCTGTCTGCAATGGGCCATCGCCACAACCGCAACAAAATATCAGGAACATGGGAAACAGCTATCTGGAAGTGAGGCCTGTTTAGGCCATACCGCATACAAAGATAAACTGTGAACTAATTCAAGAACAGCTGTGATTCCCAAACTGAAAATCAATTATAATTTTAAAATTAAAATTATAATCCTGGCTTTCTATACAATATGAAATGCTTGAGATTTTAAAGAACAATGGTAGAGCAGAAAATGTAAAGTCTCTTAAAGATATTGTTTTAGGAATTTGTAGCTATGTGTTTTCAGTTTTTCAAGAAAGTCAACACTGGTTCAACATAGTGTATTGTATTTTCCTTTTTCCATGTAAATGCCAACTTCTTCTTACTCATTTGTTAACATTTATAAGCAATAACAACTATTTCTTCTTCAAAGAGTTGCTCATTTACTGAAAACCTCAAATAAAACTACAAGAAACTTAAAAGACAGATGACTTTACCCCACCTCAGCTCCCTTCCTCCCCTCCTCTATCCCTCATTTTTATAAAAGTTTACATGTCTGTCAGTCTTTGGCCCTGATCCAGACTCTAAACTGGGGAGCAGAATCTTTACTTCTGTATAGCCAACACCTGTTGCTTACATATTGAGAGCATACAAATACTGTAGTTCCTGCCATCACTTTTCCCTTAGGTTACAACCTCAAAAGTTGAGGGAGAGAGGGTATACTACATTAGCTAAGTATTAGTAAATTTAATACTCCATCTTGTACCTAAAACTTTAATTATTTGGCTAAAAAATAAAAGTAGCTTTTGGGGTGGAGGCCAGGGAGGGACATGACTCCCCCACTCCAGCCAGGCCAGTCTGTTTCCAACACATGGTCATTCCTCACCACATGTAACTCTCACAGAAGCCCACTGAATCCAAAGCATTCTTTCAACATTTTGAGTCTAATTAAAAAATTTCTTCCAATATTTTTAGTCTAACTCAAGAAATTTCTTCAGAAGGCATGTGAGTGATGGTACTTACACATTAGTTTTAAATTTATGGGGTGTGGGCACTGGGTTTTGGGCTCGCATTTCTAGAACTTCCATGAAATGAGGCTTCTTTTGAGTCCTGCTTCCAAGGCCTGTTAAGTTCTCCGTATTTGTGTTTTCTTCTGACTGGTGCTCATCTGCAATTGTGATTTTCTGTAACCGATCAATAAACTGGTTTTCCAAACTGCTGGATTTATCTTCTGCTTGATCTGAAGCAGACTGGCCAGAGAGATGCTCAAAGGCTGCAGAGGAAGGTACATTGGCTCCACCACTCGAAGCTGGGTGGTGGCTCACTGGGTTTTCAATCTCTGTCTCTTCTCCTCTGGAAGCGGGTTGTCCTAGTGCTTGGGGATGTGTGGGTGTTTTTAGTGCCGTGGTGCTCTTGACAGAGGTATGGCCAGGAACAAGCGATGACTCACTGAGTATCTGGTTAGAATTCCCGGCCTGATCTGTGTCCCTGTCAACAACAGGTGCCTTTTGCCTTAGCTCAGAGTCTAAATTAGTAGGGTCAAACAGTTCACTTTTTCCTCTAACCAACTCGTGCTCTGCAATGGTAGCTTTCAGTTTGGCGACATGGTCTAAGATCTTTTTACCTTTGTCGGGCAATTTGCAAATGAATTTTCTGTGAAGAGAAGAAACAGTGTATGTTAGAGCCACATGTTTTAAACTAGAAATACAAAGCATTACCTCCTAAGGGAAGAAAAATAAATCAATCCAAGTCAACCTGATTCCAACTGACCCCAAAAAGATACATAGGATGGGCCATTATTCAAACACCATTTAAAAGTGTGTGTGCAGGGAGAATTCAGAAACAGGGACTATACTCATTTGTCTCGCCTACTTATCTAAGCATACAGTAACAGACATCCTAAAACTCACAAACTGGTCTCCTAGGCTTTGCAGGGGGGAGGGAGGGAGGTGGATGGCCCCACCAAGCCCTCACTTACTTTCAAAGTGTGACTAAGATACATGCCATTCCACTCTTATTTTCTCACAGGGGGGTGGGGACAGTTTCAGCAGCCCCGTGAGGTGACGGCATTGCTCTGAAGGTCATGGGCTGTGTGTCCTTGCACTGTAAAGATCTGTCTCTCACCTGGCTGTCATTCCTAGACATGGCTAAACGCGGAGATGTAAAGAGACGCAACACACCTACAAGGGCTCTTTGGGAGGTCGACAATTCCTCGGAGTACAACGAAATGCCCAAACCGCAGCTGCACACGTGGCTGTACAGAGGAAGGCACAACTCCTCCTCACAAAAATTCCGGATGCGAGTCCCGGAGGGAGCCCCCAAACGATGATGCCCTTGGCGGTGAGACCTGAGCCATCTGGACCTGAGTCCCACGGTCTCGGTCTCGGTCCTGGAGTGCTGTCCCGGCCAGTGGGCCGGGCTCGGCCACTCTCCCCTTGCAGAGACCCCCTTCCCCTCTGGGACTGACGAGCATCCCCGCACTCCCGGGCGTTCTCCAGGGGCTGGGGTGCAGGTAGCACACCGCGTGGGGTCACGCAGAGTCACGTGCTCCGCCTCGGGGAGGGTCGGCGGCGGCACGGGGGTGGGGGGGGCTTCCCTCGCACTCGGCCCCTCTGCTCTGTCTGCCTGGGCCACCACGGCCGGGGTCGGGGGGTGGGGGTGGGAGGGGGGGCTCAACCCAGGACGATGCCCGTGTACCCTCGCGTCTCCCGCCCGCACGACAACACTGCCGCCGGGGAAACTGAGGCCTCCCGTGCACGTCGTCTGCGACGCGGGGGCTGACCCCCTCTGGTGCGGGGCCGGCCCTGCTCGCGGCGAGCCTCCCGCGCGCCCCCCGCCCCAAAACCCGCCCCGCCGCGCCGCGAGTCCGCGCAGAGCCCGAGGAGCGCCCGAGGGCCGGCGGGGCGGCCACGCGCTGCTGCCCACGTGGGTCGTGGGGATGGACGGCCCGCGCGGCCCCGGACGAGAGTGCGCGAAGGGGCGGGCTGGGTGGGGGGCGCGGGCGCGAGGCGGCCGCCAGCCACGCTTACTCGTTGCGCGAAAGTCTCTCCTGGCGCCTCAGCGTCTCCCGCAGCTCCGCCAGACGCAGCCGGCGCGGGTCCGCGGGCGCCCGGGGCGGCGAGGCCATGCCGCGGGGGCTGCGGCGAGCGAGGCTGCGGGCACTCGGCTCCCTCGGCCGACCCCGCCGCGCGCGCCACGCCCGCGGCCGCCGGCGCCTCCGGCCCTCGGGCGGGCGCCGCCATCTTCCCGGAAGAGCCGCGCTCCGCGCCCGCCGGGCGGCACGGAAACGCCGGCGCGGACGCGGCCGACGGAGCCGGAGCGCGCGCGCGCGTGCGCGGGGCACCGGAAAGGGGTGGGGCTGGCGTGTGACGTCACGGGAGCGGCCGACCCGCTCGGCGCGTGTGCGAGCTTCGGCGCTTGTCCCTAGCTGGGCGCTCTCAGGAAGGAAGGGGACTTGCCAGGGACCCTCAGATCGGGGCTGATGACTCGCCTCGTGGTGTGGGAAGGGCCGCAGGACGCGGCCCTCGGAGTACGAAGGCCCGAGGACCTTCAGGGACTAGGAGCCCTCCGAGTGCTGCGCGGTGACGGTTAGAGGCGTGCTCGCCCCCGCCCGCCCTCGGCGCTCTCCAGAACGCCCCCCGCGCAGCACCGGGCACTCCGGGTCTTGGACCCGAATTGAGTGATCTTGACATTCCTCGTAGCCACGCTACAGATGGACCTGGTACATAACCAGGCATCTGTCTTGGACACTCAGTTCTTCCCAGGTTGTTTTATGTACAGAACCCGACCCTTAACAGTATTGTGCCTAAAACTAAAATATGATGCCTCCCCACTGCACACACACACACACACACACACACACACACTTCAAGGGTTCTGCAATATAGTCTTTAACATCTCACAATTCCCTTTTTTTTTCTTTTGCTTGTAGAGAAAGAGACACATAACAGTAAAATGTTTCTGGGAAAGGAGTGGCAGTTCCAAATTTTAAACTCAAAACACCAGGTTCTCTTCTTGCCTCCATACCTATTTGAGCCCCTTCCGCCTCTTTTCCATGTGTCTGTTTCTACGTGGATTTTTCTTTTAATTTTTAAAGGGCTTTTTGTTTTCCCGGGTGTTTAGAAGGCAGTGAAAGAAAGCATCACACAGCCGGTTTCTAGCATCATAGTTACTTCCAAAGGAAGAGGAGGAAGCACCAAGTCAGAGCTGGGCGCTCCGAATACACACCATAAACTTGAATGCCTCTTTTCCCCAATCTGTGACAATAAAAGTTTCACCTTTCTCCTTAACTATACAATCACTTAATCACTTAACTTCCCGTTAGTCGTCGATTTGCTCGAGCGGGCGCCAGTAACGTCTCCATTTGTCCCTGTCGCGTGCTAGTGTAGCCCAATGGCATCTCTTCGTTCCGGGAACATGGAGGGCCTCAAACCGATCGTTCATGATCTTGACAAAGAAGTCTGACCATCTGGTAGGTGGGCGGCCACGCGGTCTCTTGACATCCCGTGGAATCCAATCAGTAACAGCTCTAGTCCAACGGTCGTCTTTAAATCTCATTACGTGACCAGCCCATCTGATTTTCGACACCTTGGCATATGAGACAGCGTCCCTGATCCTTGATCGTCGACGGATGTCAGAACTCCGGATTCGTTCTCTCATTTGAGTGAAACGTGTTATTCCAAGCATAGCTCTTTCTATTCTTCTTTGGGAGACCTGAATGGCGTTCTCATCTTGTTTGCGTAGGGCCCAGGTCTCTGAGGCATATGTTAATGCAGGAAGAACAGTGGAATCAAAGAGATGTGCCCGGAGCCGGAGGTTCTTCGTCCTCTTAGCTATTTCTTCGACGTTCTTGAAGGCGTTCCAAGCCGCTCTCTTCCTCCTGCGCAGCTCGGGTGCCAGGTCATTTCTCATGTTGACCTCTCGACCTAGGTAGACATAGCTGTTGCATTCGGAGATGGTCGTTCCATTGAGAGCGAATGGGGCGTCAGGAACAAGGCTGTTTCTCATAAACATTGTCTTCGTAAGATTCAGCTGTAGTCCTACCTTTCCACACTCACGGTCAAAGTCGGCCAGCATTTGTGCCGCTTGGCTGATGTTTGGTGTTATTAAAACAATGTCATCAGCAAAGCGGAGGTGGTGTAGTTGCCGACCATCTATCTTCACTCCCATTCCTTCCCATTCCAGTCGTCGCATGATGTTCTCGAGGGTGGCACTGAAGAGTTTCGGTGAAATGGTATCACCCTGCCGCACCCCTCTCTTGACATCAACGATCACTTCTTTGTAGAATGGTGAGATCCTGGTAGTGAATCCGCAATACAGCTCACGGAGGATCCTGATGTATTGGGCTTGAATGCCCTGATTGGCTAGGGCTTCAATGACCGCTTCCGTCTCAACAGAATCAAAGGCCTTCTTTAAATCAATGAACGTTAAGCAGAGCGGCATCTTGAACTCCCGAGAAACCTCAATGAGCTTGGTTACCGTGTGGATATGGTCGATGGTGCTGAATCCTTTGCGGAACCCTGCTTGCTCGCATGGTTGTCCTTCATCTAGTGTTCTGCCAATCCTATTCAGGATGACTCGAGTGAACAGCTTGTAGATGACAGACAATAGGCAGATCGGGCGATAGTTGCCAATGTCATGGATGTCTCCCTTCTTGAACAGTAGTACGGTCCTGCTGGTTTTCCATTGGGACGGAACCTTGCATTCAGACAGGTAGCGAGTGAAGAGCCGAGCCAGTGTATTGATGAGTACTGACGGCAGGTTCTTCAGGTGTTCAGGTCTGACCTTGTCTGGGCCGGGTGCTGTTTGCTTCTTTACCAACGAAATGGCGTGTCGGATTTCGGAAGGGAGAACGTTAGGAACGACATACCCATCCTGTGGAATTTGGTATGTCGGCAAGTGGACATGGCTATCGAAGAGATTTGAGTAGAAGTCATGGATAATCTTCTCCATTGCCGTTCTGGAGGATGTGATGGATCCATCAGGACGTCGGAGGGCAGTCATCTTGGTCTTATAGTTGGCGAAGGACAGGCGGGCGTTACGAATACTTTTCCCGGCTTCTGCCGCATCTATCAGTACTTCTGCTCTTCTCTCTTTGAGGTCTTCCTTGATCGCATCTCTGCACTGCTTTGCAAGCTCGGACGTTAGCTTGCGGTTGCCTGAGGCATGCGCCAAACCACGCTGGCGAATTAGCTCAAGAGTTTTCGAAGATAGGCGACTTTTTGTGGCTATCTCTCTCTTGGCGTTCCTCGCACATTCATGGAGGTGCTGAACCAGTCGATCGTATTCCTCGTCAATGTTGTCAACAATGGCATCTTCCCATGTTGCCGCAATAGTACCAAAGAGTTCCCAGTTGGTGGTCATTCTGGGAGTTCTCTTTTTGAACTTTGCAGCCCTTTCTCCCCGCTCTGTGAAGTAGAATTTTGCACGAAGGAGACGGTGGTCCGATCCCGTTCGAAATTTTGGGACAACAGCGACATCAGTCAGGCAAAACCGTCGATTGAATATGATGTGGTCTATTTCGTTGTGGAATCGTCCACCGGGAGACTCCCATGTCCATCGTTTAGATTCTGCCTTCTGGAACTGTGAGTTACCATGAATGGTCTTGGTCGACATGATGAACTCAGACAGTCTCTCACCCTGTTCGTTCCATTCTAGGCCATGGGTCCCGATGTGAAGTTCTTCAGCTGATCTTCTCGGTCCTATCTTGGCATTAAAATCACCCACAATGATCTTGTAGAAGGTGTGGTCTTCTTTATAGAACTTCTCTAGCTCCATGTAGAACTTCTCGATTTCTCTCTCATCATAATGAGATGTTGGTGCGTAGACAACGAAGATAGAAACTGCAGGCAGTGAGCCACATCTATTCAAATGTAAACGTCCGATTCGGGTTGTTAGGCATTCGAATGAATCAATGCTCTTGGCCAAGTTTGTGTTGACAAGGACACCGACGCCTCCAACACCTCTTTTATCGCATGTTCCGAGGAACAATTCTTCTCCGGTGTCGAAAACAGCATGGTGAGATTCGTAGTAGTTCTCATTCAAACTATACAATAGCTCTAGGTAAACTCTTGACACAGGTCCAAGGATGACAGTTGAAGCAATTTTTGTAACCTTCCAATCCAATGTATTCTGGACAGATTAATTCTTAGATCAACCCTTTCTGCAAAAGTCTTGCCCTTAAGGACTTCAAAAACATACTTTGGCCTAATCACATACCTGAGTCCCAGTTACTGGCTTTCATTACACACACACACACACACACACACACACACACACACACACACGGAATTCCCTTCTGCTCAGGGATCTCTGACTACCAGTACACCAGTATTCTTAATCTCTAGGATTTTTCTCCCAACTGTTTTCCTATGGTGGAAAACTCTTTTGTCCTAACCCTTTGTAAATGTTGACTAATTACACCTTCCCTCTTTGAGACTTCCATTCCAGATTATGCCAACCCAAATTGTCCTTCATTTGTTTGTTTGGGGAGTGTGTGTGTTGGGGGGGGACTCCCTTAGGGCTAACTCCTGCCTCTGTATTCTGGGATAACTCCTGGAGTGCTCAAGGACCATATCTGCTGCTGGTGATTAATCCTGGGTCAATTGCCTTCAGGGTGGGTGCCTGATCCACTGTATTATCTCTCCCTCTGATTTTTTTTTTAAGCACAGCTATAGTGCTTAAGAGTTAGAAGCTTACTATCTGAAACATACCATGTTTCTCTCATTGCTGTGTATGATGATTTGTTTCTCTTTTCCAACATAATTGTGAAGAAATTCTATCATCTATATTTATACTTTTCTGTCTTCCCTAAGTGTGCCTTTGTCTTTTCTCTTAAATTATTCTCCATATTTGTCTTTTAATGAAATTTTCCTCGATAGCACATCAGTAGAGGGTTTGCCTTGCACACAGCCCACCTGGCTGACCCAGGTTCGATTCCTCCTCCTCCCCTCTCGGACAGCCCGGCAAGCTACTAAGAGTATCTCACCCACACAGCAAAGCCTGGCAAGCTACTCCTGACGCATTTGATATGCCAAACACAGTAACAATGAGTCTCACAATGAAGACGTTACTGGGCCCACTCGAGCAACTCCATGAACAACGGGAGAAGAGTGCATACTGTTCTACAGTGCTACAGTACATACACAAATTTAGGTTTTTATGTAGTATCAATTTATAATTACTTTGAAGAAATATATAATCTTAACTTAGACAGTTAAGGAATTCAAATATCATATACAAA